TTAATTAACTTTTTTAGTTGATTATTTGTTGTACGCCACTCCTCCCACACATAGAAGGTGAATTGTGTTAAGTACATAGAAACATATTGTAAAAACAGAGAAATAAAATATGGTAGTCTAGAATGCCAAACTGTAGAATTAATAAAAAATATTTCCTTCTTGGCAAGTATGTCTGCTACCATATTGATTTCACGATATACATGATAAATGGTCCACCTATGATCTGAAATGTTTGTGTCGACAATTGGTTACTATTGTGTGGAGTGTCCATGGAGCTCTGCACCACCCTTGAATAACGTACACCAGCAATGACGAAGCACTTTCAAATTTGAGTGGAAAGCAGTTAAGGTCAATGGCTAGATCAACGGTCATCTTCAAAAAAAAAAAAATCTGTATAATTATTTGATGCAATATCAAAGAGGATCACAAAAGCAATAATAAAGGCACCATTGTTGTTCCTGATAACCCCACCACCACTTGTCATACTCGGAAAAGAAGCCTCATCAACAATAATATTGAAATGTCGGTGGTGAGAGAAGAGATTATACACCCATGGCACCTAGTCACTACCTTTCTCGTGTTATTATTCATTAGATGATATTATTAGTTGGTAATTAAATATGGACGCGGTTAGCATGCGGCCAACCTGCATATTATAGAAATGCAGGCTTGGCAATAAATATATTTTTTAAACATAATTTGATCTTTATTTTTAGAGAATATATAATCTTTAGCATGGAGATCATTAATATGAAAATAAATAAATTTTGAAAACTAAAAATAATAATATTAAAAAAACATTTGGACCGTTAGTTATAATTGTTTCTAGATGAACCACCTATTTATATCTATATTTAAGATAGATGCTTTGTACTTTTGGACCGCATATTGTAGAAATACGGTCTTGCCTACATGAAACAATTGTTCATTAAATATTGTGAATATATCTTTTATTGATGCATCTTTAATTTTATATTTAAATTTTATTTATAAATATGAGAATAATTTGTTTACTTTGGTAAAAATTGGATATTTATCTATACAAAAATATAAAATCTAAATATATCTCTTGTTTTGAGTAAAAACTTGATTTCCAAATATGTAATAGAAATAAATATGTAAAAATAATAATTTCAATTGATTAGTACCATTTTAATTAATATAAAAAATCAAATATAATTTAAATTAACCAGTAATTACCAAAAAAAAAAAAAGTAATTGAAGTGTAATTTTGTGACCAACTGGCCCCATGCAAATAAAAAAGATCATGTACATTATATCTGCCAACAAAATTATTTTTCTAAGTATGACTTAAATTTTCAGGAAGCCTTTAAAATAAAATATTGATAAAATATAAATGTGAAATTTACCCAAATTGAGTTTTTTTACAGTACAAATCAAATTTCTTTCATAATATGTTGTTTTTTTTAAGAAATTATAACATTAGTAATATATTGTTTAAATTGAAGGAGTATGTTGTCATTTTGTATTAAAATAGTGGTAGTTTTGGAAAACTTAAATAGTTAAATGGTAGGACCTACCCAATAAATGCAGGTACGCGATGGGAGGGGCGGAAGTTATGTATATGCTCCCGCGAGAGCAAATTGTAGTTTTACACCCTAAAGATAAGGGCCTATTATCCTTAGTTTTTTTAAAGAAATTGTAGAACAAGAATATATTTAGGAAATAAAAGTGAAAGTTTAAAATTTTAAACATGTGAAATATGATGTTTATTTGAAGGAGTATGTTCGTAAGGGATCACAAAATCTCTCTACTTTTTTTCATGTTGTGTAGTAATGGTTTGGAATCTTTGACCCGTTGTTTGGTTTTAATTTCACCAAAAGCAATGCGCCGTGCATCTTCCCAAAGCTGGGCACCGACTAATGTGTTGGCTTTATATTAGAAGCTCACTTTACCAATCACGACGTGATGATAAAAACTGTAAGCCAATTTTCTCAAATGGTGACAAAACTTCAAACAACACCTCTAAATTTTTTTTTTGTTTTTTTTTTTTGTGATTTTGATGTAAAAAATTATTAATATTATCTCAAAATTTATTTTTATATTTAATTGTAAAATTTTAAACTCTAAAAATGATTAAAATCAAGAAGATGTATAATCAACGAATAGACGACGTTATTGTTCTTCTTGGTCACGCTGGTGCCATTGATTGAATTCGTTTAACAATTCGTTGATTACAAAAAATCAACGAATTATACAAAAAATTCGATCATAGATTACAAAAAATTCTATCATGCGTTACAAAAAAAAAACAAAAACAAAAAATTC